TCAACCTAGACTGGTAGAAACACATTGTTTGGGGACCACGTTGGCTAACATATCCCTGTACAGAAAGAGAATGGATGGTGTGCAATATACGTGGTGCACTATATGTTGTGCTTTCAACGTGGAGCAATAGATGTGGTGCAAATCGACGGAGATTCGAATGCAATCGATTAGACTGCAATCGATTGGGTTGCCATGGGGGGGGGGGCAACGGGGCGGCGGCCGCGGGCGGCAACGAGGCTGCGACGGTACTGTGACGGCGGCAACAAGGCGGCGGAACCGACAAACGAGCCCAGACGACGGGCGGCGACGACGGGGCGACGGGGCGGCGAAGGCCGCAACAAGATGGCGGACCCGACAAGCGAGCCCTGACGACGGGCGGCGACGATGCGGCGAAGCGGCGGCGACGGCGGCAACGAGGCGGTGGATCCGACAAACGAGCCCTGACAACGGGCGGCGACGAGGCGTCGAAAGGGCGGCGACGGCGGCAGCAAGCCGGCGGACCCGAAAAACGAGGCCATTTCTGTAGAAGACGAATAAGAGTCCTTAAGCGCAAGCATTGTTTAGGGAATATGTAGGTATCTATATGTTGTTTTGCGCTTTTGCAAAGTTTTGAACCTCCCGTAGCGTTCTCGTCACCAGGACACCAGGACTAGGTGCGCACCCTGGGACATGACCGCCGGACGGGGGCCGGACATGAGCGCCCATACTCCGAACGTCCTAAGGGAATCACGACGGCATGTTCGTTTTCGGTTTGCGGAGGTCGCTTCGAGGCCCCTGGGTTGACCGAGATCCAAGCGGGGTGAACAGCCGGTCCCCCACGGAAGGGGTCGATGATAAATCCTTGGTCCTTTGCCTCCAAGCTTTTGAAAAGGGGGTCCGAACGGATGAGGTCGCAGGATCGCGCCGCATCGCCGATGCATCGGCGATGCGGTTCGATGTGGACCCCGACTTGATCCACGCCGAAAGTGCAGATGTGTCGGCGATGTGGTGCGATCTGCCGACCCCATCAGCTCGGGCCCCAGTTGGCAGGCCTCCAGTGCTTACAGAAACCCATGAGCAGATGCCTGGAGATGTTCATCGGGGCCGATCCTGGCGATAGACCCATCTCGGGCCGCTGGACAGCCATGACTGTAGCTGCTTCGTGAAATTCGCACCGTTCGCCCCCCCGATGAGCAAACAGTACCAGAAACAGGCACTGTTACCGACATACTATACATTTACATATATATATATATATATATATGTGTGTGTGTTGTGTGTGCTGTGTGTGTTGTGTGTGTTGTGTGTGTTGTGTGTGTGTTGTGTGTGTTGTGTGTGTTGTGTGTGTTGTGTGTGTTGTGTGTGTTGTGTGTGTTGTGTGTTGTGTGTGGTGTGTGTGTGTGTGTTGTGTGTGGTGTGTGTGTGTGTGTTGTGTGTGTGTTGTGTGTTGTGTGTGTTGTGTGGTGTGTGTGTGTGTTGTGTGGTGTGTGTGTGTGTGTTGTGTGGTGTGTGTGTGTGTGTGGTGTGTGTGGTGTTGTGTGTGTGTATTTATAGACCCGCGCAATAGGCCCTGGCGCCCAGGGCCAGGACCTGGAGCGCGCATGGCGGGACCGGGGCCTCCGAGACCGCTGCCGTGGAGCCCCCAGATGCCCCGAAGAGCTCCAAGACGTTCCCAAAAGCCCCCGGGGGACTTCGACAAGCCCCTCCAAGACAGCCCAGATAGCCCCAAGGTGGCCCCAGATGGGCTCCAGACAGCAAATGCACAGCCCAGTAGCCCTTCAAGAGGCGTCAAGAGACCTCCGAGAGACGTCCCGAGAGAGCCCGAAGAGGCCCAAATCCTTGATTTTCATATGTTTTTGGATGTTTTTCGGTGTCTCACGTTTTCGACCTTCCGACGCTCCACGACGGCCGACCCCAAGACCGCCCCAAGACCGCCCCAAGACCGCCGAAGAGGCCCCCAACAGAGCCCCAAGACGGCCCCAGGGAGCCCGAAAATTGCCAGGGGCGAGCCTCAGACTGCCCAAGAGAGCCCTAAGGACAGGCCCAAGCTGGGCCCCTTAGCGGGAGCGGGTGGCACCAAGGCGCTCCAAGACGGCCTTGATGGCCCCAACGTGGCCCCAGATGGGCCCAACACGGCCAATACACAGCCCAAGAGGCCCCAAGAGAGCTCCGAGAGACGTCTCGATCCTTGATTTCCAATCATGTTTGTCCCATGTTCTTCGTTTTCTCTCGTCCTCGAGCTTCCAACGCTCCAAGATGGCCGAATACGCCCCGAAGATCGCCCCAAGACCGCCGAAGAGGCCCCCAACAGAGCCCCAAGGCGGCCCCAGGGAGCCCGAAAATTGCCAGGGGCAGCCCAAGACTGCCCAAGAGAGCCCCAGGACAGGCCCAAGCTGGGCCACAGAGCGGGAGCGGGAGGCCCCAAGGCGCTCCAAGACGGCCCTGATGGCCCCAACGTGGCCCCAGATGGGCCCAACATGGCCAATACACAGCTCAGGAGCACTTCAAGAGGCCCCCACAAGAGCGCTGCGAGAGGCGTCCCGAGAGAGCCCGAAGAGGCCCATATCATTGAGTGTCGATAGTTTTCTCATATGTTTTTCGCTTTCTCGCGTTCTCGAGCTTCCAACGCTCCAAGACGGCCGAAGACGCCCCCAAGACCGACCCAAGACCGCCGAAGAGGCCCCGAAAAGAGCCGCAAGACGACCCAGGAGAGTCTGAGGACTGCCCAAGAGCAGCCCGAGACTTCCCAAGATAAAATCCCAGGAGAGGCACAAGATGGACCCCAGAGCAGGAGCGGGAGGCCCCAAGGAGCTCCAGGACGGCCCAGATGATCCCGCCGTGGCCCAAGAGGAGCTCAAGACGGCAAACACACAGCCCAAGAGGGCTCAAGAGAGTTCCGAGAGACGTCCCGAGAGAGCGCAAAGAGGCCCAAATCATTGGATTGCAGTGGCTTATTCGATGCTTTTCGCTTTCTCTCGTTCTCGAGCTTCCAATGTTCGAAGACGGCCGCAGACGCCCCGAAGATCGCCCCAAGACCGCCGAAGAGGCACCCAAAAGAGCCCCAAGACGGCCTCAGGAAACCGGAAAACTGCACAGGAGGAGCCCCAGACGGCCCAAGAGAGCCCCAGGACAGGCCCAAGCTGGGCCACAAAGCGGGAGCAGGAGGCCCCAGGGCGCTCCACGACGGCCTAACTGGCCCGGGCCTCCCCCCTCCGTCTCTCCTTCCCTCCCGCCCCCTCCCCTTGCCTCCATTCCCTCCTCTCTCCTCTTCCTCCCCTCACCCCTCAGCTTTCGTGCTCCTCCCTCTTCTCCTGGGACGCCCCCGCCAGAGCGCCAGACAGGCCCCGCCAGACCGAGTGGGGCATCGCTATACCCTATAATTTCACAAGTTGCTTTGCCCCTCCCACCCCTCAAGGGCGGCCCCGGCAGAGCGAGAGGGGTGGCGTTATACCATATACGTGCAGTCCCTGTTTGGTTTTGCTCCTTCCACCGCACCCGAGGTAGCCCCGTCAGAGCTCACGGGGTGTGGCTATACCATAATGGTCTTAAAGTGTCGTGTTCTTCCTTCCCTTCTGGGGCAAGCCCCGCCAGAGCGCCAGGGTAACTCCCGCCAGAGGGAGCAGGGCACCCATACACCATACTATGGCACGCGATTCTTGCTCTTCCCATCCACCCTTGCAGGGCGGACCCGCCCGAGCGAGCGGGGTGCAGCTATACTCTGCAATTTCTGAGGTTTCGTGCCTCTCCCTCACCTCCTGAAAGGCCTCGCCAGAGCGCCAAGAAGGCGCCGTCAGAGGCCCCGTCAGAGCTCCAGGCTGCACCATACATGGGATTTGCCTGGCAAATCATTGAGCATCCCCCGTGAGCCCGAACGTTGTGCCCCCACGGGTGCAATTGTCGCCAGCATGAGGCCCGGCGTCCAGCACAAAGAAGTTCCCCCATTTCCTTGGACGGACTCGATAGCAACTGATTACAGAGAAGGGCATTGATGACCAGGACATCTGCGCGCAACGAGGCCCCGAGCCAACCCCCAACATCAGGAGCCGGCGGACGTCTGCGTGATCGGGCACGGGGAGACCGAACAAATGTGCAAAAGCATTGAGTATCAGGACGGGGCAGAGCGGAAGTGAAAGTGGCGAATCAAGCGCAGTTCGATAAACCAAACAGAGGCGGCAGCGAGATTGGGAGGTACCCGGGAACGTGGCGCCCCGCGTTCTGACAACGCGTTTTTTGTTGCGTCGATGGCTTGGGCCCGAGAACGCTGGAAACCGTCGTTGTGGCCACAGCGGGGCTTCAGCAGCACCCGTGGCTCATCTGCGATTAGAACCTAAGCGCGCGCGTAGCGCGCGCGTGGTTCTATTATATATATATACATACAAATATATATATATATATATATATATATATGTGTGTGTGCATGTATATATATATATATATATACACACGAGCAACCATATCGTGCGCACGAAGAGCAGCATGCTCGCATTGGAATCGATCGTCGACGACAGACCGTCGACGACGACGACGACGAGACGACGACGACGACGACGACGACGACCTCGTCGACGACCTCGTCGACGACCGTTGTCGACAACAACAGCGATTTCGCTGAACGAAGGCGAAATCAGCGGCGAGGACGGCGACAACGACGCAGGAGGAGCAGGAGGAGCAGGAGGAGGAGGAGGAGGAGGTATCCCATCTCGTTACCCGCACCCCTCTCATCCCGGTTCTGTCCTCTCCCTCCCCGTAGTTCGCTTCTTTTTCTGTCCCTTTTTTATCATCCTGCTCCTCGCCCTCATGCTTCTCGGGTTCTTCCTTTTCTCGGCATCGCTCGGACGCGTGCCTTTTTCTCTCGGCAAGGACCATCGAGGAGCATCCTCGATCATTTGGCGAAAAAAAAAAGCCACGCACGAGAAACCGAACAAGAACACAGGGAAGGAACGTCCGAGCGATGGCCACCAGTCTTCCCCAAGCCTCTGCTCTTCGACGACGTCGACCCTCGGGGCCCCCCCGCGCGAGAGGTGGTCTCCAAGGTCTCCCGGGCGGCCTGAGCGGGGCGCCGCCGGCGTATGTACCGCGGGACTCACCGCGCACGCGGGCCGCGGGAGCAGGGCCCGGGGCCCTCCCTGGGCGGAAAAGGGGAAGGAGGGAAGAGAGAGAGAGAGAGAGAGAGAAAAAAAAAAAAAAAGAGAGAGAGAGAGAGAGAAGAAAAACATAGAGAAACAGTAAGATGATACAGAACGTAAAACAAACAGGTGCTGCCGGAGTTCCTCACAGGAAGCTGAAGCGGGGCCTCCGCTGGACGGGTGGACCGGGCACGAAACCTGGGAGGCAGCACGGTATCTGAACTTCCTCGTCGCTCAGGGGAGGCATTTTTGGAGATACGGGAGGGCACGAAACCTGCAAAATTTAACGAACATTGTGCTCGGCAGCGTGCTTTTCTGCAGCGCAGAGAGGGTAAGAGAACATCTACGGCACGAACCTACCTGATCAATCACATGGTATCCGAATATTGTCCTCGCTCAGGCGGGGCCTCCCTGGACTGGTGGGAGGGGCACGTGACCTAATAAATCACATGGTATCCGAATACTGTCCTCGCTCAGGCGGGGCCTCCCTGGAGGGGTGAGAGGGGCACGTAGCCTAATACATCACATGGTATCCGAATACTGTCCTCGCTCAGGCGGGGCCTCCCTGGACGGGTGGGAGGGGCACGTAACCTGATAAATCACATGATATCCGAATACTGTCCTCGCTCAGGCGGGGCCTCCCTGGACGGGTGGGAGGGGCACGAAACCTGATAAATCACATTGTATCCGAATCTTGTCCTCGCTCAGGCGGGGCCTCCCTGGACGGGTGGGAGGGGCACTACATTTGACACATCACATGGTATCCGAATACTGTCCTCGCTCAGGCGGGGCCTCCCTGGACGGGTGGGAGGGGCACGGAACCTGATAAATCATATAGTATCAGCATATTGTTTTCGCTCAGGCGGGGCTTCCCTGGAGGGGTGGGAGGGGCACGGAACCTGATCAATCACATGGTATCCGAATATTGTCCTCGCTCAGGCGGGGCCTCCCTGGACGGGTGGGAGGGGCACGTGACGTAATAAATCACATGGTATCCGAATATTGTCCTCGCTCAGGTTGGGCCTCCCTGCACGGGTAGGAGGGTCACGTAACCTGATAAATCACATGGTATCCGAATATTGTCCTCGCTCAGGCGGGGCCTCCCTGGACGGGCGGCAAGGGCACGAAACCTGATGAATCACATGGTATCCGAGTACTGTCCTTGCTCAGGCAGGGCCTCCCTGGACGGGTGGGAGGGGCACGAAAATTGATAAATCACATGATAGCCGAATACTGTCCTCGCTCAGGCGGGGCCTCCCTGGACGGGTGGGAGGGGCACGTAACCTGATCAATCACATGGTATCCGAATAGAGTCCTCGCTCAGGCGGGGCCTCCCTGGACGGGTGGGAGGGGCACGTAACCTGATAAATCACATGATATCCGAATACTGTCCTCGCTCAGGCGGGGCCTCCCTGGACGGGTGGGAGGGGCACGAAACCTGATACATCACATTGTATCCGAATCTTGTCCTCGCTCAGGCGGGGCCTCCCTGGACGGGTGGGAGGGGCACGTAACCTAATACATCACATGGTATCCGAATACTGTCCTCGCTCAGGCGGGGCCTCCCTGGACGGGTGGGAGGGTCACGTAACCTGATAAATCACATGGTATCCGAATATTGTCCTCGCTCAGGCGGGGCTTCCCTGGAGGGGTGAGAGGGGCACGTAACCTGATAAATCACATAGTATCCGAATATTGTCCTCGCTCAGGCGGGGCCTCCCTGGACGGGTGGGAGGGGCACGTAATTTGATAAATCACATGGTATCCGAATATTGTCCTCGCTCAGGCGGGGCCTCCCTGGACGGGTGGGAGGAGCACGTAATGTGATAAATCACATGGTATCCGAATATTGTCCTCGCTCAGGCGGGGCCTCCCTGGACGGGTGGGAGGGTCACGAAATTTGATAAATCACATGGTATCCGAACATTGTCTTCGTTCAGGCGGGGCCTCCCTGGACGGGTGGGAGGGGCACGAAACCTGATAAATCACATTGTATCCGAATCTTGTCCTCGCTCAGGCGGGGCCTCCCTGGACGGGTGGGAGGGGCACTACATTTGACACAGCACATGGTATCCGAATACTGTCCTCGCTCAGGCGGGGCCTCCCTGGGCGGGTGGGAGGGGCACGGAACCTGATAAATCACATGATATGCGAATTCTATCCTCGCTCAGGCGGGGCCTCCCTGGACGGGTGGGAGGGGCCCGAAATTTGATAAGTCACTTGGTATGCAAATATTGTGTGGTATTGTATGGTATGGTATGGTATGGTATGGTATGGTATGGTATGGTAGAGGAGGGAGGAGGAGGAGGAGGAGGAGGAGGAGGAGGAGGAGGAGGAGAAGGAGGAGGTGGAGGAGGAGGAGGAGAGGATCAAGGAGCGTTGTTGCTGCATCTTTGCAGTGCTCTCGGGATCCCAGAGGCCGCTGGAGACCTCTTCGCGGGAGGGCCCCATATTCAGGGGCGCTTGCCGGAAGGTGTGGCGCCTCCCCCGAGAGACAGAAGGAGAGGGAGGAGCAGGAGGAGGAGGCGGGAGGGGAGGTGGAAGGAGGAGGAGAAGGACGAGGAGGACGAGGAGGATCGAGGATCGAGGATCGAGGAGGATCGAGGATCGAGGATCGAGGGGGATCGGGGAGCACCAAAGTGCTCGGTGGTTCGGAGGCTTTGGCGCGGGCCGGGGTGCCCCCGGGGGGGCCTCGAGGGACCCAAGCGGCACAGAAGAGGAAGCGGAGGAGGAGGAGGACCGGCAGGGGGAAAGGAGGAGACGTCCCCCTGGCGCGTGCATGTGCATTGGTTTCGGCCTTCGGAGGAGGAGGAGGACGACGACTAGGAGAACAACAGAGGGGAGGAGGAGGAAGGGGAAGCAGTGGGGGGAGGGGGAGGAGGAGGAGGAGGAGGAGGAGGAGGAGGAGGAGGAGGAGGAGGAGGAGGAGGACGACGACGACGACGACGACGACGAAAAGGAGAAGGAGGAGGAGGGAGGAGCAGCGGAAGGAGGAGCGTGAGGAACAGGAGAACGCGCAGGAATCGCCCCCAGGGCGATGGTATACCCTTTCGTCGGTCTGGCCGATGAAAGTATGTCCTATTGTTTTGAGGGCTCGACCGCCTATGCTGCGCTGCTTGGACTGCATTTCCATTTTTTGGCGGGGTGTATACAGCATCCGCGCCCTCACCCAGCAGCCGCGCGACATTTTCGCATCTGAGATGTGCCTCGCATTGTAGGTGTTCTGTCTGTGATGCTCTTTCTTGGTAGACGTTTTCCAACTCTGCATTCTCTTCCATCATGTTGCCCAAACGTCGAAGGTCGTGACGGTTATCGGAACGAAGAAGGAAGCTAAGTAAGCTTGCAGTTAAGCATCGGCGTTCGCATATGAGGACACGATTCGCACATTCACTCGCACGCATTCATGCATGTTACATGCACGCATACATTGCTATACATTCGTAGATTCATATATGACATACAGGGTTCCCGGGGCACCAGCCAGGCCTCCGGGACAAAATATCCGAGGTACGGTTGTTTATACCGCCCTCCCAGGCGCCCAAGATTGCCCGAGACGGCTTCAGAAGGTTGCAACAGGCAGAAGAGTGACCGAAGATCCCCCCAGGACGGGCCAGAACGCTTACGATGGCCCCACGGCAGCATAAGGGTGCCCACGGGAGGTCAAAATCCTTCAAATGAAGGTCCCAGGATGGATGTGAAGTCGCTCTGGGGCTTCCCAAGGGGCTTCCCCTTGGGAGCGTTGTTCCTATTCATATACTTTTGCAGGGCAAGGGGCCCCAGAGAAAGCCACACCCACCCCCACCTAACGAATTTGGCCCACCCCGGGCCTTTCGGGCAGCCCCCCAGACGACATGGGAGGACCTCACGAGAGCCCGAAGACGCCCAGAGGGCCCCCCACGTTCCGGCGCGCTCCCGAAACGACACCGGAGAGCCCCAAGACGGTCGACGACGACCCCAAAGGAGCCGTCATACCCCAAAGATCATTCCAAAACGCCCCAAGAGGCCTCCAGGAGCACTCCCAAGAGGCAAAAATTACGTATTTTCTGGTGGTTTGTCGAGGGTTTGTGACGCTCCAAGACGGCCCACGAGGCCCCCAAGATCGCCCTAAGATGGCCCGACAGACCTCCAAGAGGGCCCCAAACTGGGCCACGAGGGCCCCCAGGCAGTCCCGACAGGGGGGCGGCGGATCTAGTGGCCTCTGGCCCATCCCGCCAACGTGCCCTGTTTAGTGGCCAGGTTCCTATCGTCCTCGTCCTTGTCCTCCTCTTCCTCCTCCTCCTCCTCCTTCTCTTCCTCCTCCTCCTCCTCCTCCTCCTCATCCGCCTCCTCCTCCTCCTCCTCCTCATCCCCCTCGTCATCCTTTTCCTCCTCCTCCTCCTCCTCATCCTCCTCCCCCTCTATCGATCAGCCTCTTGAGGCATCTTGTGATGCCTCGGGGAGGCCTGTCGGATGCCCCTTTTGGGGCCCCGCGGTCGCCTCTGGGAGTTCTCTCGGAGGGCGGCTCTTGTTCGACCCGCGAGTGTCTCTAAGGGCTTCGTGTGGGCATCTTGGCGGTCTCGGGGGCCATCATGCCACCCAAAAAAATCCCGTCCGAGGCCAAACACATTTAGAATCACAAGGTGTGTTCAGTGAATTCTGATATCGGGCAAAGCCGCGCGAGCGACGCCCAGAAATCCTGGGCCCTGGGCTTCAAGGGGCATCGAACACAATAGCCAATGCTAAGAATTCGAGGATTGAGGGCACGCACTCAGTGCCTGGCGGCACGGTTGCGGACGTATATACGCGTATGTGTGCGCATGTGTTTGCATGTGTTTGCATGATGCGTTGCACCTTGCACTTGTTTGGCGGAAAAGTTATATTGCTGCAGGAACGTACGCAAGCTGGCATGGATTCAAGCACGTGCCAACATTAACATCCTTACACGTTCACGCGAGTTGTTCGCGCATGTTGCCCATGACCTGTTTCGGAGTTTGCCAGACAAGTTCGACACACATCGCATGTCATGGTACTTGACGCCAACGTTCAGTATTTGTATTGGCTTTGCTGTCACACACAGCTCTACTCTAGACCAATATTGGCTCCATCCATGTCGTTTCTGTGTTCGGCCGCCTATACACAAAGTTCGTGAATGCTTCCTTCTGGATTGCAACTGCATTGTCAGCACGTGTACTCAGCATTGGTCTTCTAGCGCACACGGCAAACTCATAGTGTCAACGTGCCTCTGAGTCTTGTGTTCGTCGTCCCCTGAGCATGTCTCCAGTTACGCACTGTTGTTCTAGGGCGTGCTTCTCTAGAAGAATGCGCCCAAGAAGCAGGTGGTTTCTCTGGGGGGAAAAGAATGAGGCTGGCATTCTTCGGTTGTCGGGGGCAAAGTCAAAGCCGTCTTTCGGCGGCGGCGGCCAGGGGGGCAGGCAGAGGGGGTGGGCCTTCTCAGAAGGAGGCCTTATGGGGGGCTTTCTGAGCCTTCTCCGAAGACGCAGACGGCTTCTCGGAAGGCCAGAGGGCTTCTGAGGAGCCCCGCTGCCCTCTGAGAAGACCTGCCCCCTCTCACTTCCCCCCTCGGCGCGCCGCCGACTCTTTGGATCCTGTATGGTTCCGCACGCAGCTTCCGGGGGGGGGTACATTCAGCATCGACGCCGATATATGATCCTGCTTACGCACGCTGAATCCCATGTCTTCTGGCTGAATGTTATGATTAATCTGGCCTGATCTGGTTGCATGGCCCCTCCATCGGGTTATCGCGAAGATCTCCGAGGAGTGGCTTACCACTACAGCTCAGGCGCCACTGGCCCCCACGTTCGATCTCAGCTCCGCTTCTGGACCTCCCCGCCCTGCTCGCTCTCGCCCCCCCCGCGGCCCCCAGCGCCAACGCGCTCGACGAGTGGGGGTCCGCACCGCTGCACCGGGCGGTGGTGGTCAGCACCCCCGCCTCTGCTCCGCGCGGAATGGGGGACGACGACAAGGACGGCGAGGACGAGGACGATGACGAGGACGACGATGAGGACGACGAGGACAACGACGAGGACAGTGACGAGGACGAGGACGACGACGGGGACAACGATGATCCGAAGCACTTGGATCAGCGGAGGGAGAGGTGCCGACACGGCTGTTCTTCCTGGAGCGCCCTCGTCGCCACGGCTTGACGCTCACCGAAAGGCTGGTCAGAACGGATCTTGGGAGAGGTCCCGTGAGGAGCGGTATCGGTACCCGTTTGTTTCCCCATTGGATATCCCCATCATTTCCCCCCTAACAGTGCTTGCACTTCTGGGTTCCTGCTTCTGCTCAAAGGAACTGGGCTGGTTGGCCGGTCTGGCGGCTCCGTGCCCGCTGTCGCCGCCCCGTCGCCTCCTCGTCGCCGCCTGTCGCCTGGGCCGTGTGGGTGGTGTGGCAGCTATGTCGTCACCGTCGCCGCCCCGTCGCCGCCTCGTCGCGCTAGAAACACACTGCTTCGGGTTCACGCTGGGTAGCACTGAATATCACATTAATCTGTATCGTGTACTAGTTTTGGGCGTTGCTGTGCCTCCCGGGAGGCCCTCGTCGCCACGGCTGAGTTCTCCTCGAAGCTCTGGTTAGAACGCAGCTCGGGCGAGGTCCAGGGAGTAGCAGCAACAGAGCGTCTGCGCCCCCCCAAGGATCGGCTAGACGTAAGAGTGACCTTTCGCCGGAGTGACCTTTGGTGCGGGCACAGATGGGTCCCCAGATGGCTGAAAACGAAGCAGTAGCAGCTGCTTGCGCGCCCAGGTTTGGTCCCCCCGCGGCCCCCAAAAAGTCGCACACCAAAAGGTCACTCTTACCCAGGGTCACTCTTGCGTATAGCCGAAAGGAGGTTGACGCAGCCATGGGAGGGGAAAGGTGGCAGGATGTGATCTGGGCGCGCGCGGGCAGGGGCAGGGCCGATGCTGCCTCCCCCACGGAGGTGTCTGCGCGGAGTGGCGCTTCTCCCCTCCTCCTCTTCCTCCTCGTCCTCCTCCTCCTCCTCCTCCTCTTCCTCCTCCTCCTCCTTCTCCTACGGTCCTGAAGATTCGAGACGGCAAGTTCTTCACCATTCTGGGCATCTCGGGGCGGAGTTCGGGTCCCTAGAAAGTCAAGCAGCTATTCGCGTTGAAACGGATGTCCTCGAGAAGAAGTCGAGGAGTTCGGGGCCCCATGTCTCAAGCAAGTCGAGCCGGCCGATGTCTGGGCTTGCGCCGATGAATTGGAAATTGCTCTTTACTGCATGCTGCTCGTTGGGGTGTGGACTCGCACTGGCGGGCGAGGAAGGGTCGGTCCCGCGCGGCGCGCATGGGGCGTGGGGGTCCCGGAACGAGCTGCCTGGCGGGGAGGCGTGGATTGCACGCGTGGAATGTTCGTTGGGGTCCAGCGTTTCTCCGTAAATCTCGATGGGGCGGGCCCAGGTTCTACGATTCCCGTGCGCACTTTGGGTGTCGGCGGGCCGTCGGCCGGTCGCACAAGCCCTGCAGGCACGTTCGCATTCGATAGTTGAAGCAAGGATATCAGGTATCGTGGGCTTGATGCCAGATGAGCTAGATTGGAGGCCCCATGCTCGCACACAAGGTTGCACTCTCAAGGTTTGCTCGGCGTTCGTTCGAGATGCCGCTCGGAGGTTGACTGGGGCTTCTGAATTATTGTGCCTGGTCGCAAATCGCGGGGGTCTTGTGTGTCAGCGTCGGCTAGTGTTTGGTAATCGGAGTGAGCGCCGAAGCATCGACCAACGTCGATTTGGCGTCGAGTAGCATCGAGCAGAACTCATTCGCAACCGCCAGCAAGATTATGTGGGAGGCTCCAGTGAGGAACCGCAGAACTGTTGCGGGCCTCCCGCCGTCCCATCCGTTCTGCCCACGCACTGCAGCGTCACCATCGCGGGCGCTTTTTCGGGCGAGCTGGACAGCGGGGAGCAACGGGAGTTAAAGGCAGAGAGGCCGACGCCCTCGTCACCCGTGCTCAAGCACCTCGACTCGCGATGGTGGAGCAGTTTGAAGAGGAGAACCAGAGGAAATTAGAGGACGACCGCTGGTGGGAGGGGAACGACGAGGTGAACATCCACATTAGTCTTCATCCCCATCCTTCTTCGCTTCTCCCCTCCCCCCCTTCTTAATTTCTCGCCCTCCCCATCGCCCCTCCTCCCTCCGCCTCCTTGTTCCTCCTACACATCCTCCTACATTCCATCCTTCTCATCCTTCTCCTCCTGCTGCTTTTCCTCTTCCTCCTCCTCATCCACATCCTCATCCTTCTCCTCCTCCTCCTACCTCCCTTCTGCGTCCTCCCTCCTCCGCCTCCCCTCCCCATGACCCCTTCCTCTTCCTCCCCCCATTCTCCCCCCCACTCCTTCCTCCTCTCTCCCTCCCTCCTTCCGCCACTATCCTCCCAACACCTCTCCCTCTCCAGCCCCCCTCCTTCCCCCTCCCCCCCATCCCGCCCTCCCCTTTCATTCTCCTCCGACCTCCCCGCCCTCCTGCCCCTGATTACTCCGCCCCCCCCTGCTGACCAGGGCTGAACCTAAACGGTGCTTTTCGTTTTCGTTTCGTTTTCGTTTCCCCTCGTTTTGTCTTCCATCCACCTCTATCGCAAGACGAAGTCGAAACGAAAACGGCCCACGAATCCGCCAAAGCACCGTTTAGGTCCAGCCCTGCTGCTGACCTCCCCATCTCCCCGCGCCATCCCGCGCGCCGCCCGCAGCGCGGCCAGCTGGCCGTGGCGGAGAGGCTGCTGGGCGCCGACGGCGGCGCCGCGGACGCGAACGCCGCGGATCTCCGGCGCTGCTGTCGCCGCCGCCGCTGTGTACAGTCGGCCCGGATTAGTAGGTCGACCCTGCCAGCTCAATGGTACCCATGCGTCCTGTGCCTCGCGACGCGTGCCCTTCTTACACTCCAATGGCGATGTGGCCTTCGGAAGGGTCTTGTGTCGTCTCGCGTGTCCTGTCCAATCGAGTCCGACTGTATTGTTTCGTTTCGTGCGTGCGGATCGTTTCGTTCCGGCCAACTGGGGCGCGCGTGCGGATCGCCTTTTGCCGCACTGCGACGGAAAAAAGTGCGCTTGTGCGTGCGTGCGTGTGTTGTGTGTGTGTTGTGTGTTGTGTGCTGTGTGCTGTGTGCTGTGTGCTGTGTGTTGTGTGCGATGTGTGTGATGCGTGTGTGTGTGATGTGTGTGTGTGTGATGGGTGTTGTGTGTGTGGGTCACATCGCCTGAGCATTCAGCTCTGCCCAGCCGCCGACGCAAAAAAGTGTGTGTATGGGTGTGTGGGTGGGTGGGTGGTGGGTGGGTGGGGGTGGGGGTGGGTGTGAGTGTAGGTGTGGGGATGGGTGTGTGTGGGCGAGTGGGTGTGGGAGTGGGTGTGTGTGTGCGTGTGTTGTGTGTTGTGTGTGTTGTGTGTATGTCGTGTGTTATGTGTGTGTGTCGTGTGTTGTGTGTGTTGTGTGTTTGTTGTGTGTGCGTTGTGTGTATGTGTGTTGTGTGTGTTGTGTGTGTTGTGTGTTGTGTGTTGTGTGTTGTGTGTATGTGTGTGTGTGCGTGCGTGTGAGCGCGAGTGTGCACGCGTGCGTGCGTGCGAGCGTATGTGTGTGTATGTGCGTGTGTGCGTGTGTGCGTGCGTGCGTGCGTGCGTGCGTGTGTGGGTGTGTGCGGGTGTGTGCGGGTGTGGGTGTGTGTAGGTGTGTGTGTGTGCGTGTGTGCGTGTGTGCGTGTGTGTGTGTGCGTTTGTGCGTGTGTGCATGTGTGCGTGTGGGTGTGTGTGCGTGTGTGCGTGTGTGCGTGCGTGCGTAGCCGGCGTGTGGGCCGGCGTGTGGGCGCGCGTGCGCGTGTGCGTGTGCGTGTGCGTGTGCGTGTGCGTGTCCGTGTGAGTGTGCGTGTGCGTGTGCGTGTGCGTGTGCGTGTGCGTGTGCGCGTGCGTGCGCGTGCGCGTGCGCGCGCGCGTGCGTGCGTGCGTGCGTGTGCGTGCGTGCGTGCGTGCGTGCGTGCGTGCGTTGGTGCGTGCGTGCGGGCGGGCGGGCGGCGGGCGGGCGGGCGGGCGGGCGTGTGGGCGGGCGTGTGGGCGGGCGTGTGGGCGGGCGTGTGGGCGGGCGTGTGCGTGTGCGTGTGCGTGTGCGTGTGCGTGCGCGTGCGCGTGCGCGTGCGCGCGCGTGCGTGCGTGCGTGCGTGCGTGCGTGCGTGCGTGCGTGTGCGTGCGTGTGCGTGCGTGTGCGTGCGTGCGTGCGTGCGCGTGCGTGCGCGTGCGTGCGCGTGCGTGCGCGTGCGTGCGCGTGCGTGCGCGTGCGTGCGCGTGCGTGCGCGTGCGTGCGCGCGCGTGTGCGCGCGCGCGTGTGCGTGCATGTGCGCGCATGTGCGCGCATGTGCGCGCATGTGCGCGCGTGCGCGCGTGCGCGCGTGTGCGCGTGTGCGCGTGTGCGCGTGTGCGCGTGTGCGCGTGTTAGCGTGTGCGCGTGTGCGCGCGTGCGCGTGTGCGCGTGCGCGTGCGCGTGCGCGTGTGTGTGTGCATGTGTGTATACGTGCGTGCGTGCGTGTGTGTGTGTGTGAGTATGTCTGTGAGTGTGTCTGTGAGTGTGTCTGTGTGTGTTGTGTGTGTGTTGAATGTGCGTGTGTGTGTGGTGTGTGTATGTCCGTGTGTGCGTGTGTGCGTGTGTGCGTGTGTGTGTGTGCGTGTGTGCATGTGTGTGTGGTGTGTTTGTGTGTGGTGTGTGTATGGTATGTGTGTGCGTGTGTGTGGTGTGGGTGTGTGCGTGTGTGTGTGCGCGTGTGTGTGCGTGTGTGTGTGTGCGTGTGCGTGTACGTGTGCTCATGTTCGTCCTTGTGCTTGTGCTCGTGCTCGTGCTCGTGCTCGTGCTTGTGCGTGTGTTTGTGCTTGTGATTGTGCGTGTGCTTGTGCTTGTGTGTTTACTTGTGCGTGTGCTCGTGCTCGTGCTTGTGCTTGTGCTTGTGCGTATGCTTGTGCGCGTGCGCGTGCGCGTGCGCGTGCTTGTGCTCGTGTTTGTGCTCGTGCTTGTGCTTGTGATTGTGCTTGGCTTGTGCTTGTGCTTGTGCTTGTTCGTGTTATTGTGCTCGTGCTTGTGCTGGTGTTTGTGTGCTTGTGCTTGTGCGTGTGCGTGTGCGTGTGCGTGTGCGTCCGTGCGTGCGTCCGTGTGTGCGTGTGTGCGTGTGTGTGTCTGTGTCTGTGTCTGTGGCTGTGCTTGTGCCTGCGTCGGTGTGTGAGTGTGTGTGATGTGTTCCACCAGCCAGTGGTCGCCCAGGGGTCGAACTAAAGGATGCTTGGGCGATTTTGTGGGCCGTTTTCGTCTCGATTTCGCTTTGCAGCAAAGTCGGATCGAAGACACAGCGAGGGAAAGCGAATCCAAAACGAAAACAAAAAACACTGTCTAAGGCGATCCCGATGGTCGCCTGCCAGGCGGCGCATGCAACGACTCACAAATACGCCTTTTCTTGCGCCCTCCTCCAGTCATCCCCCCTTCCTCTTTTTCCCCTCTTCCTCTTTCGTCTGCCTCCCTTCCTCCTCCCTCCCGCTCCTCTCTAATTCCTCCTCTTCATCATCATTGCTCCTCACCGTCCTGTTCATCCTCCTCGCTCTTCCCTCTGTCCTCCCTCTCCTCATCCTCCTCCTCATGCTCCCCGTCTTTCTTCCCTTCTCTTCCTGGCTTTTCGTCGGCCTTCGGCCGCCCTTCGGCGGCGTTGAAGACGACAACGACGACGACGACGACGGCGACGACGACGACGACTACGACGACGACGACACCGACACCGATACCGATACCACGACCACGACCACGACCACGACCACGACCACGATGACGACGACCTTGCTTGGCTAGCGCTGGGGCCGCCGGGGACAGGACGGTGCCGGGGAGTGCCCGCTGCATCTGGCCGCCGCTCGGGGCGACTACACGATGGCCCGCCCCGCCTCCCCTCGTGCCGCTCTCCTCCGCCGGCGCCGTCCGCTCGCCGTCGTTCGCCATCTTCGTGACGATGACGCCATCGTCGGAGTCGTCATCGTCATCGTCATCATCATCACCACCATCGCCATCCCCAGTACAGTCACCATTACTGCAATCACCACCAGCACCATCATCATCATCATCATCATCATCATCATCATCATCATCAGCAGCAGCAGCAGCAGCAGCAGCATCAGCATCTGCATCATCATCAGCATCATCATGAGTATTAGCATCATCATTGTTATCGTCATCATCACCATCACCATCACCATCATCTTCAGCATCATCATACTATTCAGTTTCATGGTTATCATCATCACCCTATCTTTGCCTGTCAACCCACTGCTGCCAGGTCAAGCTGCTCCTCGAGCGCGGCGCCAACGCGGCCGTCCGCAGCCGCCTGCGCCCCAGCCGCCCCCAGGTCCCCTGATACTCGCGCGCTTTCGGTCGGCCCCCTCTGCGCCCCCCCAAACGCTACGCAGCAGCCATACAGTTGAAGGGAACAACTTGGCAACGAAGGTTTAGGAGCCACTTCTCATCACCCTCCACCCCCCCCCTGGCCTTCTGTTGAACAAGCGGGGCCAGACAAATCTCGAGCCCATCATCTCGCACGCGATCCGTGCCAAGGGATAATTCGCACAGAAAACACCAGCCCGCAGCGCCGACGCGTGGGGCCTGCGGGCGCCTGCCTGCGCGCATCCAGCCACGATGCAGTCGCTACCCATTCAAGACGAGGGAACGACATAAACGAAAACGTTCGGCGATCCGCGCGGATTTTTTTCTGCGCTGGGCCCCCCCTGGCGGCGGCTCCAGCGCCGCCCCTGCCGCGGGAGGGGGGTCCAGCACAGATCCAGAAAAGCCACGCGGACCGTCGACAGTTTATATGTGTGTGGGCCGTTTTTCCCGACCTCTAGCACAGCAGCGTCTTTGCGTGCTCGCGTGCGCCCCGCCCCCAGAAGCCGCGCACCGATTGTCACTTATGCCCAAAGGCCCAAGCGGGGCAGCTCTTGCGTGTAGCCCGCGACGGCGACCCAGACCTCCAGCGCATCAAAACATGTTGTTCGCCGTCTCCGGCCTCCAGGACTGTCGAGAGATTGCTCGGGATGGACCGTGGCCGCGCGCACAGAAGGGGGGCGTATCTACGGACCCTGCTGCTCAGAAGGCCGACGCCTGCTACGAAGCGGCCTCCTTCCTAGAATCGGAAGCCTCGAGACGGGGTTCAATGCAAACGGGGGTCAGCCAGGGCACCAGATCCTGCAGGATCCTGCGAAGACCCCTTCTGGCTGACCCGGGTTAGCGAGCCGCTCGTGACCGCGAGGCGGCCGCGCCTATTAGCTGACCCGTGTTTGCGAAGACCTGCGCTGCAGTTGTTTTTTCCTGCACTGCAGTTTTTGGTTTCCTGCTGACCCGGGTTTGGATTGACCCGGGTCAGAAGATCCCCGAGAGGGAGAGTCTCAGTCGGCTTGCCTCTTACCCTTAAGCCGGGCCTGTCCCCCTACAGTGGGGATTTTCGACGGAAAATACAAAAAGTCCACAAATGGTCGGGGGACTAGTTTTGGAGTATTTTTTTATTATTTTGGAGTATTTTTGGTCCCCCCCCTCCCCCCTGCCCCCCTCTGCGCGGCCGAGGAAAGGCAGCCCCGGGGAGCGGGTCGGGAAGGCGGCCCCAGGGCCTCCCCGCGCCCACGGGCCCCCCAAAAGGAGGCCCCCAAGGAGTCCCAAAGAGTGCCCAAAGGAGGCCCCCAAAGGAGGCCCCCAAAGGAGGCCCCCAAAGAAGCCCAAACAAGCCCCCAAAGGAGGCCCCCGCAGGAGCCGAACGAGGTCCCTAATGTCTCTGGTCCCTCCTATCTTAGGTCCCCTCCCAAAGGATGTGGGATATTTCTATTGCTCATCACTTCGACCGCCCGGAGAGAGGCCCCCAAAGACAGCCCCCCTGGCATCGGGAGTGTTTCACAATGCGGACCCCGGAGGTCTGGATTCTTTCCCCATGCAGGATGGGCTGTTCCTCCCGAGCCGATTTTTTGACGGTCCTGTGGGTCTGGCTCAGGCCGTTGGAGGCCAAAGGTAGCGAAACAATTCCCGTCGTGAGAGTTTTTTTCTCCCATAACGCAGGAGGGGTTTGGGGAGACAGCCCCCAAAGCCTCAGGGGGGCCCCGAGCATCTCGAGAGGGCCCCAAGGACGGGAGGCCCCAAAGGCAAGCCGAGAGGGGCCAGAGAGCACCACGGCATCGGCGGCGCGCACAGCGTCGTCGTCGTCTTTGTCATCTTTGCCATCGTCGTCGTAGCCGAACGTCGTCATCATTTCGTCAGCTTCCGGCCATTCCCCAGGGGCTGCCGTCGCCGCGGCCGGACCAGGCTCGGAAGACCTGCCAGGGATGAGCCTCTTGCGAGGCTGGCCACCCGCACCAGCTTGGCTTTTGTCGCTCGCTCCGCGAGATTGCCCTGGGAGGCTCCGCAGACGCGTGATGCGCTTACACCTTGGGCGATGCTTAAGAAAACTCAAGTTTTCGGCCAGAGTCTCGATTTGTCTTAACGTTTCAATGTGAATCCTAAGATTTCAATGGAAATGTTGGGTTTTTATCCAAGTTCTGAGACTATGAATTTCTTAACCCATGATTTCTTAAGCATTTCGCAGGGTGTAGATCACGTAGCAGGAAGCCTCCTACACGGTAGGTTCGCGTTGTGTCGATAGGCGGCGACCCCGCCGCCGGCGTTCCACGTGGAACGCCGTTGGCGACCCAGACTCGGTCGATCTTGTCAGGAGCGAAAGAAGGACGTACATGTACATGAATCCACGCTGGTTTCGAGACCACGCATTGCACAAATGCTCGTATAACGCGGCCCGTCTCGCGAATCGAGGGGCCGTGTTCATGTACATAGCTTGGCGCGTACGTCCTTTGTGGGTTCCCTATCTTGAGCGATCTGAAGTTTCAGAAATGCCGGTCGTTCCAGGTTGGAAGATCGCCACGGTGTCGGGAACCAACGCCGAAGGCGGCACGACACGAATCTGCCGTAGGAGCCGCAGAGAGCCTCCTGCAACATGAACACCACAAGGTCATGCAGGGGCTGGTCGCGGGCCTTGTCGAGGGCCTTCATCTCGACAACATGGACAGAGGGTCCTTCGGACCAGCTCGCAGGCCCTTCCGGTACCATGATGGTGGCATACGATTGGTTCGATCGGTGCAGCCCGCGTACCCTACATGGCTCTCTCTATCATCGGTACGATCGACATGGGTACGGACAGAAAGGGGACGAAGACCGACAGCAATTCCTGTCCATTTTGGGCAGGAATCGTTGCCGGCGTCGCCGCAGACTGTCCGCTCGAGACAGGTAGTCGCCTGCCCAAGAGCGGGCGCCGTCGATGTTGGACAACATTTGTTGTTGGGGATCGTAACCGTGTGTTTCGTACACATCTGGGGCGTCTAAACTTCAGTTAGCGGGTGCGAGAGGAAGGAGGAGGGGGGCGGAGGAGGAGGGAAGAGTGGACCAGAGTAAGCCCACGATGTACCAACGATGCCTGCCACACACCCTCCTGTAGGTTGCATCTTCGGGGACCTCACCGGTCCCCCAAATCGGTGTCTTTTCTTGTGCCCGACGCGGGCTCGATGCGGACTCGACGCGGATTTGGCGTGGATTCGACGCGGGTTCGACACTGATTCCACATCATTCGACACGGATCCGATGTGTTCGACATGGATTCGGCACGGATTCGACGCGGATAAGGCCGCGACGGGATAGAAAAGGTCCCCCGAGGATGCAGCATAATCTCCCGCCCCAAGCCCCCTCATGGGTCCCTACAGGCGTTGCTCGTCGCTGTTCGGCGGCAAGCAAGGGGGGGAATTGAGAAGGAGAAGGCCTTCTCAGAAGGCGGCGGGACTTCTCAGAAGCCCTCGCGCCTTCTGAGAAGGTTTTTCTGTCTTCGGGGAAGGCTTAGAAGACTTCTCAGAAGTCCGGGGGACTTCTGAGCCTTCTGAGAAGGTGCGCCCTTTCTCACTTCCCCCCCTGGCTCGCCGCCTAACTGTGCGAAGCGCTCCCCTTGGAGAGCAGAGCGCCCCAGGAAGGCGACCCAAGGCGGGGCCACTGCGCCGCGCCGGGGCGAGTAGCTTCGCTGTTCGAGGGCAGGGCGCCCTCCGCGCGCGCGCAGCTTCTGGACTGCCTCAAGACGAACGCTCGTGGCGCCAAGGCGAGAGCCCCGTTTTAGGATCGTCCGCCCTCCGTCCGTTCGGTACAGTCGGCCCAGATTAGTAGGTCGACCCTGCCAAATCAAGGGTACCCTTGTGTCCTGTGTCTCGCGACCCATGTTTCCTACGGAAGTGTCCTATGGCAATGTGGCCCTCGGAAAGGGTCTTCTGTCCTCTCGCGTGTCCTGTCCAATCGAGTCCGACTGCAGCAAATCATGGGAGTTTGGTTACCCTTCTAACTCCGTCTTTAGCGTCGTTGAGCGTCTGGGAGTCGATGAGACAGCGCCGATGTAGAGTCGGTTAGCGTCGATCTAGCGTCGATTAGCGTCGATCTAGCGTCTATTAGCGTCGATCTAGCGTCGACTAGCGTCGACTCGCAAGAGTCAACAAGATGGTATGGGAGGCTCCCATGAGTTGCCACAGAAGTTGGCGCCAAGGCGGGAGCCCCGTTTGAGGATCATCCGCTCCCCGTCCGTGTCATTGTTGAATGTGTGTCATTTTCGATGCCGTACAGTCGGCCTCGATTAGTAGGTCGACCCTGCCAAATCAAGGGTACGTTGTGCCGTGTGCCTCGCGACCCATGCCTCCGATATTCATGCGGCAATGTGGCCCTCATAAGTGTCTTGTGTTCTCTCGCGTGTCCTGTCCAGTCGTGTCAGAGTGTGAACGGTGGGGGGAAGTCTCAGACGAAACGCCCGGTCCAGCCTGACGACACGCCTGGTGGTGCAACAGGGATGGGTTCCCTCATGGGGAAGATGCGCAGGGGAAGGGAGGAGGGGTGGCGAGGCGGAGGAGGGATGGGGGGAGGAGGGGGAGAAGGGAGGAGGACCGAGGCGGAAGGAGGAGACGGCGAAGGAGGGGGCGGATGGAGGATGGAGGAGTGTGGAGGGTGGGGGAGGGAGGGAGGGAGGGAGAGAGAGGAGGAAGGGAGGGAGGGAGGGAGGGAGGGATAGAGGGAAGAAGTGGAGGAGGAGAAGGAGGAGGTCCCTCTCCTCCCCACCCGCTCCCTCCTGCTCCTGCTCCCTCCCTCCTCTCGTCCCCCCCCCCCTCCCCTTGCCCCCCCGCGGCGCGGAAGCCCGAGGCCTTGCTGGCAAGCTGCCCGAGGACGGCGCCACGGGGGCAAGGGGCGAGCAGCCCCGCGGGGGGAGGGAGGCGAGGCTGGGGACAGGGCTCGTTTCGATTCCTCCGATTCGATTCGATTCGATTCAGATGAATCCCGATTCCGATTCGATTCGACTTGGGAGTCCGATTCGGATTCCGATTTCTCAACGGAGACCTACTAGCCTGCCGATTTCCGCCGATCCGACTTCTCCCGACTCGGCTGCCGACTTCTGCCGATCCGATTCATTTCGATCGCCGATCCGATGTGTCGATTCGATTCTGGGCTCTTCTGTGGGGGTCAAGGGAGGAAGAACCACCCCGTCCCCGATAGCTGGCGTTTACAGAGCGGCCCTGGGCGTTCACGGGACAGCCCTGCCCTGCTCGAGGCCTTGCTTGGGGTGCGTTTTCGCGTGTCGGCATGCTCATTGTGAGGGCGGGTGTCTTGCTCTCCAGGGGGCGAGCGGGAGGGAGACGGGAGGGAGACGGGAGGAGAGGGAGGAGCAGGGAGGAGGGAGCAGGAGGAGGAGAGGGACAGGGGCCAGTTCTCCGCGCTCGCGCCGTATTTGACATCATACCCCTCCGACTGGTCCCTTCCTACGACGTTGATGGTTTCTCTACCCGCCACGGGTGCCATGGCGGATCTGGAGCCCCACAAAAGGACACCATCGTGCTATGCGCAATTCGAAATAGGGAGTTGTGTATATTGGAGGAGGAGGAGGAGGAGGAGGAGGAGGAGGAGGAGGAGGAGGAGGAGGAGGAGGAGGAGGAGGAGGAGGAGGAGGAGGAGGAGGAGGAGGAGGAGGAGGTGGCGGATCAGGAGGAGGATTAGGAGGAGAAAGGAAAGAAGGAAGGAAGGAAGGAAGGAAGGAAGGATGAGGAGGAGCAGCAGCAGCAGCAGCAGCAGGAGCAACAGCAGCAGCAGAAGCAGGAGCAGGAGGAGCGGGAGGAGGACGAGGACCAGGAAAGGCGGAGGAGGAGAAATGAGCAGGAGACACCGGTGAGAAAGGACTCGGATTCAGAAAAGTGGCCCGCGCTGGGGAGAGAGCACAATTCTGAACGACAGGAGCAAAGCGCCAATCCGAAAACGAGGCCCACGCTGCAGCGGGAGCGGACTGAAGACGCTCGTCCTCAAACAACACGCAACGAGGAATAACATCTCGTACCAATCCTGTTTGCCGCCAGAAAAGAAAAAACAACACAAACAAAAAACAACAAAAAGCGCGGAGGGCCCACCACGCTCAGCACGGCCTCGGGGGAAGAGGAGAACAGTTTTCAGAATTGTGGAAGAAGGTGGAGGAGGAGGAGCGGGACGAGGGGGAGGAGGAGGAGGAGGAGGAGGAGGAGGAGGAGGAGGAGGAGGAGGAGGAGGAGGAGGAGGAGGAGGGAGGGAGGAGGAAAAGGAAGATGAAGAGGAAGAGGAGCGGGACGAGGGGAAGGAGGAGGAGGAGGAGCAGGAGCAGGAGGAGGAGGAGGAGATGGAGATGGAGATGGAGATGGAGATTGAGATGAAAATGGAGATGGAGATGGAGATGGAGATGGAGGAGGAGGAGGAGGAGGAGGAGGAGGAGGAGGAGGAGGAGGAGAGGAGTAGGCGGAGGAGCAGGAGTCAAGTTGCCCAGGTCGATTGAGTCAGAGGGCCCCGCCTATTCCAGGCGATCGCAAACATGGATTAAGGGGGCGTGGATTATCGACGTCCCGTTTCCATGGGAGACCGCGAATTTCGGCCGCCGAAGGAGGCGGCACCGTCCGCATTTTGGAGAGGGCACCTCCGCCGATCCATGGATTTGGCGACCACGCGCCGAGTCCATGGATCGCTGATCCATGTCTGCGCGTAGCTACTCCCACCGCCCCTCCCACAGCACAATGAAGGCGCTCGCGCGTGGCCCCGCGTCCGACGATGTGGCGAAGAAGGGCAGAGGAAGGCGGGTTTTGTCTGTTCTCTGGCTTTCCCCGAGGCCCCTCCGGGGGCCTCCGAGGCCTCTCTGGATTGGACCTCCCAGGGGACCTCCCAGGGGACCTCCTGGGACCCCGAGGGGGCGAAGGGAGTACAGGCTCCTCCCTCCTCCTCCTCCTCCTCCTCCTCCTCCCCCTCCTCCTCCTCCTCCTCCTCCTCCTCCTCCTCCTCCTCCGCTTGGGGTGTCAGACAGGGCCCCTGCAGACATGCCCGTGACCTTTGGGGCCGTCGGCCGCCGGGGAGTCGCGGGGGGCGGGGGTCGGAGGGCGAGGCAGGGGCCCGGCCGCAGGGGCACGGGGCGGGGGGCCCTGCCGGCCGCGGGCCGATCTCGCCCGCGTCTCCCCATGGTGTCTCGGCCAGGAGGAGGAGGAGGAGGAGGAGGAGGAGGAGGAGGAGGAGGAGGAGGAGGAGGAGGAGGAGGAGGAGGAGGAGAGAGGACTGGGAGGACGACTGGTTGGCCAGTCGGCGTCGTTGCCTTCGCCCCCTGCCTCGCGGGCTGCTTCTTGGCAGGCACGTCCGCGCGCCCGGCGCCTGCGCCGCGACGCCGCTCGGCCCGCGCGCTCGGGTCGAGCCCGGGGTCGCAGCCGGGCGCCCTCGGGGCGCGAGGCTTCCGCGGCGCGCGGGCTCCTTGCGCGCGCGCGTGTGAGCAGCGCGAAAGTCGCCACCCACCAAACCACCCCTACCCAAGCCGAAGGCCCACGTTTACCCTCGAGCTCCAGTGGAGGGGGGGTCAGGGGGGACGGAAGAAACACATGTGGAACCCGTACCCCCCCCCCCGAAACCAGAACTTGGGTTGAGTCGGGCTTGTCCCTCCACAGGGGGGATAGTGAAAAGTAGTACAAAAATAGTCTGGGGGCTATATTTTGAGTATTTTGGGGCATCTTTTGTATTTTCTGCGTCTTTTTGATCTTCCGCCCAAAATCCCCCTGTAGGGGGACACGCCCGACTTAAAACTTGGGTCTTTGGGTTGAGTTGGTGTGGTCTGGTAGGTGGCCCCATAGGGAGCTCCACCGAAGCCCCCAGTGGGGCCGCCCGCACGCGTCCTCAAAACCGCCCCAGGAGACGGAGGCGGACATTGGCCCTGGGACCTCGCGGATCGACCGGATCGACTTGCCATCGGGAGATCTCGCATCGGGGCTGGGACAGAGAAGGGGGGAGGTATACCCATCGGTCGTTGAAAGTATGTATTTTTGGGGTTTCCAGAAGCCAGCCAATCTGCTTCAAGCGCCTTCCTACAAGAACCGATCTGCTTTTGCTGCGTTTTGTTACTCTCTGGGCGGGCCCGAACCCAATCTACTCGATCCGCCTTCCTACTTCATGTTTCTACCTACTCCTTCCGACCAATGGGTACGGGAGGGGGATGAAGGGAGTACAGTGCCGTTTTGAATATATGCTCCGCGTGCGGATCATGTATTAAAAATGCAGGGAGTTAGTATGAAAAGCATAGATGTGTTCATGCATCAATTGATCCTATATCTTTAAAAATCCCACGTACGAAAAACTGCTCTGTGGAGGTGAGCCCCCCCCCCTCGTGCCCAGGAAGGCCACGTGGACCGCAGCGGGGGCCCCCCTGGGGCCGCAGGAAGGGCCCCGGGCAGGCCCCACCGCTCCTGCGAGCGAGCCCGACGCCTTCGGGAGAGGCCTCCGGCCCTGGAGCCGAGTGTTCAGTAGGGCCTGTCTCTCTACAGGGGGAAAATTCAAAATGGTCAAAACAATTAGTCTGGGGACGATCTTTTTAGGAGGAGGAGGAGGAGGAGGAGGAGGAGGAGGAGAAGGAGGAGGAGGAGGAGGAGGAGGAGGAAGAGGAGGAGGAGGAGGAGGAGGAGGAAGAAGAGGAGGAGGAGAAGGAGGTGGGGGAGAAGGAGGATGATGAGTAGGAGTAGGAGTTGGAGTAGGAGTAGGAATTGGCGATATTTTGGGGGTATTTTGTATTTTTCGTCCAAAATCCCCCTGTAGGAGGACAGGCCCGACCTAAGCCTAGTGGGCCCTGGAAACGACATGGATGTTTTTGTCATCCGTTCCGTTTTGCAATTTTTGCTGCCGGCTCCGGGGCGTTTGTTGTTCTGGTTCCGTCGCCGTTTTTGCGCCGGTTCCGGTTCCGGCTTCAGTTTTGGAACCGTTGTTGTTCTTGTTGTTTCTGATTGCCGTTGTTTGTTTCGTTTCCCTTCTCAAGAAACATGTATCTGGAAACGATGACAAAACGGTTTTGCCGTTTCCAGGGCCCTCTTAAGCCCGAAAGGCAGTGGGAGAGGCCCAGAGCTCTGAGGAAGCAGAGCAAGTCTTCAGGAATATTTCGGGTTCGTGGGGCTCCTGCGACACCCTGGAGAATCCTGAAGACTTCCGTGGAACCCAGGGAGGAGCCAAGAGGAATTCTGAGGTGACCGAAGGTTCTGGGGAATCCTGCCGAAGCCCGAGAGATTCGAAGGCGTCGTGTGAAGACTCCTCAGACTTATTGAAAGAACCAGGAGGAATCCGTGGGGATCTTCAAGAATCTGGATGAATCCGACGGATTCTTCAGGGGCGCTAATCTTGAGGGAGGCGCGGTACCGGCCAGATGTCAGGGGATGTGTAGGACCCCCGAGTAGGAGTCTCACTTTGAGAAAAAAAGGGTGGATTCTGGGAATTCCGTTTTTTTTTAATCCTCGATCTTCGAGGGTTGGAAGCGGGAAAACGTGAGAAGGCGAAAAACCATTGGATATCAACGATTTTACAACTCTCGCAGCTCTCTTGGGCTGTTCTTGGAGCCTCGTCGGGGTCTTTCTGGGGCCTCGCAGGGATCGGGGGTGTGTTGGGGGCCTCTGCGGAGGTCTCTGGAAGCCTTGTGGAGTCTTCAGGACAGGACCCCTGAGGACTCCGGAGGAATCCTGAGGGTCCCTGGGGCAAGCAAGGTTTCCTGACGGCTCCTGATGCATAGTCTTCCTCATGTCTTACTACAGGCGACCAGGTCTCCGGGACCTGGGACCCCACCTCTTCAAAACTCCCCCTCCTGCAATCCGCGTTCGTCCCCGGCGCCGGCGGGCTTTCTCGAACGCGCCAGGGCGTTCCCTGCGCCTCGGGCGCCCGCCGAGAACGCCCGGAGGCCGCCAGGACGGCCCACGAGCGCACCGAGCCGCCCACGAGGGCCCCATGATGGCCCAAGAGGCCCCCAAGAGGCCCCAAAAGCGCTCCGAGGGCCAAGAGGCCCAAGAGGCCCAAGAGGCCCAAGAGGCCCAAGAGGCCCCAAGAGGCCCCAAGAGGCCCAAAGGCCCCAAGAGGCCCAAGAGGCCCCCAAGAGGCCCCCAAAAAGCGCTCCGAGAGGGTTTCCAAAAGGGCAAGAGGCCACAGTCAGTGATCTTCACTGTGCATCTGCTGCGAACCCCGCGGCAGCCCAGGAGGCAGGCGCGGCCCGGCCGCGCTCCTGTGGCCCCGCCGGCCCATCTGCCCGTGGGCGGCCTCCCCGCGCAGGCGGAGTTCGACGACGGCAGAACGGCATAGGCATGGACATACGGGGCGCTCCGAAAGCGATATCGTTAAGTCGGGCCTGTCCCCCTACAGGGGGATTTTCGACGAAAAATATAAAATACCCCAAGAAGGTCAAAAAATGCTCGAACAAAAATAGTCCCCATACTATTTTTGGACTATGTTTTGATTATTGTTGGGGTATTGCTTATTCTTCGTCGAAGGTCCCCCTGTAGGGGGGCAGGCCCGACTTAACTATACTGTCTTCGAGGACAGAACAACATGTCGTCTCTTCCGCGGCGGAAGGTCGGTGGTAATCCTGGAGGCCTCGCGTGGCGCATAATAGTAGGATTATCTAGTCCACACGTCAGCCCCGTACAGTGCCGGTTTTAATACATGTTCCGCGTGCGGATCATGTACTAAAATGCAAGGATTTAGTATTAAAAACAAGGATGAGTTCATGCATAAATTTACTCCTAAATCAATCATGGATTAAAATCCGATGTGTTTAAACATCCTATGTATTAGAAACTGCCCTGTGAGCTATGAGTCGACGCTCGCGCGGCGACGCTCCAGAGTCAGTCCGACGTGCAAATCCGGCGTGACTCCGACGCAATCCGACGCAGTCCGACGTGAACTCGACGCGTAAATCCGAGGCGGATCCGAAAGAAGTCGGGTCTCAAATTGCCGTAAGTGAATTATTAATCGCTTCGCTCATTCCGCCGGCCCTGGAGCGCTATTTGGGGCCTCTTGGGGCCGTCTTGGGGGCTTCTTGGGGGCTTCTTGGGAGCGTCTTGGGGCTCCTTGGCGGCGTATTGGGCTCCCCTGGGGCCTCTTGGGGGGCTCTTGGGGGCCCCTTGGGGCGGGAGGGGGGGTAGTCGTTGGCAGCCCCCCCCCCTCGGAGGCCACGATCCTCGTGAGGGGTGGCGAAAAATAGCCTCCCCCCTGGGGATCGCCCGGGGGTCAGCCGGGGATCGGCCGTAAGTTAGTAATTGTAGCTGCCGTTCAACTCGCCGCGGCTCATCTGCGCTAGAATCTCACGTTCCCCGCTGCCTTGGAGAGCGCGTAAATGCCACGCCACCGTGCCAGCTACACAGCGCAGCGTGAGGGAGGTTGAGGTAAAGGCCCCCTGCAAATCAGCGCGAGGTTTGAGCGCGAGTGCGTCTTAACATCGACCTCGTTCCCTCGATTCCTGAGGGCCTCTTAGAAGCATCTTGGGAGCCTGCTGGGCAGCCGTAGGGTTATCTTAGTCCGTCTGACGCCTTGAAGAACCGCCTTGGGCTGTCGGAGGCCCGAAATGGGTGGAACGCGAAAAACATAGTTATCGGAGGTTGGGGGGTGAGATCGCAATGGAATGGAGAGCCCCCCACCGGGAAATCCGTTTCGGTTTCGTGTTCGTGTCGTGCTTGCGGACGAGGCGAAGTTGCGTGGGCGCGCGAGAGGGATGACCCCGCCGTCACTAGGGCGATTCGAATGCAGTGAACCGCCCCTCCGCCCCGAGTGGACGCGCGATGGCCCATGGTGTCCCGCCGTGGTGTCCTGTGGTGTCCCGTTGATGCCCCGTCGCTGTTCCGTCGGTGGTGGGCGGGCGGTGGCCAAGGGTGTCTCGCCTTGGTATCGATAGTGCGATCGATAATGAGATCTCTAGAATGGGATGGATAGTGAGGTTGATTGCGACATCGGTTGTGTTCGCGCTGTCGGATGCGCAGGGAGGCGACGTCTCTTGGGTCGTGCAGATCTCGCTGGGACTGGCGATCTCCCCTGGGGCGAGCACACTGGGATCGATCGCTGAATCCATGGGTCCTGAGACGGGCTGTGAGGTCGATAGTGGGATCGATCGAGTGAGATCGAGAGCGGGGACGATTGTGACATTGCATTGCAGCGCAGCATTGTCGTCACGCGTCGTCGATAACTCGAGGGTGCGTCACCAGCATCGTCATCATCACACCCATAGCATTTGCTAGCAGTTGGTTCTTTCCTCCCCACCCCCCAACCTCCTGATCACCCGAACGGTGGTCGTATAGGTAACAGCATATGGACAATCAATGATTTGGGCGCCTTCAGGACTCTTGAAGGGCGTCTGGCGTTCTTCCTTGTTGTATCGGGCACCCTTGGGCCGTCTCGGGTCTATCTTCGCCCGTCTGACGCCTTCGCCATCAATAGTGTTGGACAATTCTGGGCCGTTTGGGGGGCCTCTTGGGGCGCTTTCGGGCAGTCATGAAGGTATCCTAGGTCCTCTCGGGACCTTATTGAGGGCCCCCTGGGCCATCTTAGAGGCCTCTGGGGCCGTCTCAGGCTGTCGGGAGCCTAAGAAGGCGGGAACGCACAAAAAAAAAAAGAAGAGGAGGAGGAGTTGGAGGTGAAGGAGGGAGAGACACCACTGGAGATCTTCCTAGAGCCGCCTGGCCCCTTCCCCTGTCAGCATCTCCACTCCCCGTCCGTATCTCCCCTTATAGCCGTCCCCCCTTCGTCTGCCTCCTCCCAAGCTCAGGAGGAAAAGAAACACACAGACACAATGAATCCTTGATTCCCCCGAGAAAATATTGGAAAATATGGGAAGTGGGGGGGAAGACAGAAACACCGAAAATATTGGAAAATATGGGGAATATGGTATTTGTGTGTATTTATTTGTGTGTCCTACGGCCCCTTCACAAGCCTCATTCCTCTTGGGGCATCCTCGGGCGTCCTGCTCTTCCTCGGCCCTCCTCCTGGGGCGTCGCCCGGTCGTGCAGGGCGGTTTCTATCGTGTTCGTCCCCTGCAGCCCTGCATAATTAGTCGCACCCCCTACAGCTCAGAGCACCCAAGGCCCGCCCAGAATCCACACACATACTTATGAGTCCATCATCCTGGAGAAGACCCCACGCCGTACCACACCCTCCTTCTCCTCCACCTCTCGCCTGCGTCCTCTCCCCTCCCTCCATCCTGTGTCCTCCTCCCCGTGTCCTCCCTCCCTCCCCCCAGCCGTCTGGCGACGACGAGGGCCACGACCGAGACCACGAACGCGACCAAGACACGACCGCGACCACGAGGAGGACCACGATCACGACCGAGACCACGACGGAGACCACGACGGAGACCACGGCCACGACACGGCCCCGACCACGGCCGAGGCCACGACGACGACAGGCGCCGCCAGCGCGCCGGCGGCCCTGAGGACTGCGCCCGGGAGCGCGGCCACACCGACACAGCCACGCTGCTGGCGCGCAGGGCGGAGTGGGTCGTCCCGCGCCCGCGGGCAGGGCAGGCCGCCGTGCGGCGCCGCCGCCGCCGCCGCGGCTGCTGGCCAGCTGCTGGCGGCCGCCGCCGCCGCCGCCGCCGTGCTGCGTCGTCGCTCGCTCCTGGGCCGGCGCCCCCCCCCCGCCGAACGTGGCCCCCCTCGCTCAAGCAGTGGCGAAGCGTCTCGGCTCGCCCATAGCCCCACTAAACAATGTTCTAAGAATCCAGGCCTCCTAGATGGGGTCGGAATGGATGGGGTCGGAGGATCGCGCTGCATCGCCGATGCATCGGCGATGCGGCTCGATACGGAGCCCGATTTTCTCCACGCCGACGTCGCCGATACATCACCGACGTCGACGGCTCATCGCCGGTGCATCGCCGATGCATCGCCGATGCATCGCCGATGTATCGGCGATGCGGCGCGGTCTTCCGACCCCATCTACTCTGACCCCATCTAGGAGGCCTCTAAAGAACCTTTTGTGATTCCCACGAAATATTCTTAGAACATTTCTGGCTGGGACAGTCTTGTTTTAACAACACATCGGGTTTATGGTCTAAGAACATTGTTTTTCTTATTGGAACATTTTTGGGTTCTGAGAACATTTCGTGGTAAGACTAATTTGGAATGCCGGGACAGTCGGTCCCTGCTCAACTCGCGTGGTGAGGAAAAGAGATGCGACGGGGGTTTGGGCACCATTTTCGGCCTCGAGGGGCCCCAACTAGGCTACGGGAGCGTGACAAGACGACTCGGGGCGAAAAGCCGGTCCTGGGGAAGGGGTCAGGACCTTTGAGGGTCGACCTTGTGAAAAAAACACATCGAAAGAATGGGCGAGTGAGCTCAGCGGGCATCTTTTTCTGTCTCAGAAGCTTAGTGGTTGCGCACCAGGCACCAGCATTAGAGCTTGCTCAGCTTCCCCTGAGCCAGAAAGTTGCTGATTGTGAAAGCCACGATAGAGCCGACACGGGCAAACACGTAGTGAACACCCCTGACACGTTCAAACGCAACGTGTTGGGACCGACCTGGGCGTCGTCGTCCCGAAGACAGATCGGAACGATCGAAATGGGTACGGAAACAATGGGCACAAAAACGCACAGCAGTTCTTGTTCATTGTGGGCAGGAATCGTTGTCGGTCTCGCCGCGGACGGGGTTTATTTGAGACAGAAGGGCGCCTGTCCAACAGCGGCCGCCGTCCGGGTTCCATAACAGAGGATCGAAGTTTGAGTTTTTCGGTGGCGTTTGCGGCCCGTCCTCACCTTCTTACCCAGATCTCTGACTGCATGATTCTGGCAATCCGGCGGCGTTTCGTCAATTTCGGCCTCTTGGGGCCAGGTTTCGAGCTCCGATACCATAAAAGGCGGATCCGGAACGGAAAGTTCCCCCAGGTGAGCGGTCGGAATTTCTGGGGCCGCAGGTTTAAAAAGCAGATCGGTAGATGTCAGTATCTGAAGGCCAATGAGGGGCGTCGGGCGTTCGTTGTCGACGTTTTCTTCGTTGTCCTCTTCGTTGTCCTCTTCTTCGTCCTCCTCGTCGCCGCTGTCGACGCCGAAGGAACCGCATCCCAGCCCCCCAGACGCCGCGCCTGCGCCCGAGGGAGAACATCCTTCCTCACCTCTGCCCCCCCGCGTCCTCGGAGGGGGAGGTTGCGTGCGTCGCATCCGTGGGGTTCACGCTCCGCGAGTGGCTGGTGGGGGTCTCGCGCGCGGCTTGGGTGGAGCCTCGCTGCGCGACTGGTGATGTCGCGTCGGCGGAAGTGTCGCTCGCGATTGGTGGGAGTCTCGCTCCGCGACTGGAGTGGCCTCTCGCTGCGCGACGGCGCCCTGTGAGCGCGGGCAAGGGCCTCGCGCGGGGGTGACGAGATTGCGTTGCATCGGTGGGGGTCCTGTCAGGCATCCGCGTCCCTTTGGGATCCCAAGGATCTCCTCAAAGTTTCCACAGAAAAACAAAGGAGGAGTCCTGAGGAGCCCCAGGGATTCCCCCAGGAGCTCGAAGGATTCCCCAAGGATTCCTGATGAAGTCCCATGCCATCCTGAGGATCTCCTTGGGAGCCCTGCAGAATTGCTGTACAATTCGGAGGGCGAGTGTATTCGGCGGAGGCCCTACTTTGATGGAGTCCTAGAACCCCCTTTTGCGAGTTCAAAGGAAGTCCCAAAAAGACCACAAGACTTGTCAAACAAACCCGAATGATCTCCCGCCCCCGCGCCGCCCAGAGGCAGGCGGAAGCCGAGACCCCGCCCACGCGTTGGTGGGTCGCCCGACGCCTCCCGCCGAGAGCTCTCCGACAGACCGCCGACGAATCCCGCCGAGGGCTGCGACAGGCAGCCGCTGGCGCTTGACGTCAGTCGGGTGTGGCGGCGCTCGCTACGGGGGGGTGGAGAGGAAGAGGGAGGGAAGAGGAGGAGAAGGAGGAGGAGGAGAAGAAGGAGGAGAGGGATGAGGGGGAGGAGGAGGAGGAGGAGGAGGAGGA